GCAAACTGATGAAAGGAACTTCAATGGGATCACCGATATCCGGATTAATAGCAGACGCAGTGATGCAGAAACTGGGAACCATCATTCTACCTGTGATCAAACCAAAAATTTGGATTCGTTATGCAGACGACACTTTTGCCATCATTAAAAAGGATGATATGGAAAACACACAAAGTTTGATCAACAACGTTTTCAATGACATCAGATTCACAATGGAGAAAGAGTCAAACAACCAACTACCATTCCTGGGTGTTTTAGTCAGTAGGACGAACGCCGGAAAGCTGGAAACCCAAATGTACAGGAAGCCAACACACACTGACCAAATCCTCGACTACAATAGCAATAACACAACGACACAAAAAATCAGTTGCGTGCAGACTCTATTCGAAAGAGCGAGAACACACTGCAGCACAACAACTTCACAAAGAAACGAAGAAAATTACTTGGTGTCCACCTTGAAGAAGAACGGCTACCCACAAAACTTTATCACAAGATGCATATCCCGTGCATCACCAACTACAAAGTCTTCGACAGAAATCAAAATACATAAAGAATATGTCAGAATATATCACAACAAGATTTCTGAGACCACTTGGAATTGGTGTGGCTCATAAACCAACAAATTATGTATATGAGTGAAATTTCGACAATATGGAGATTTGAACATTCAACATTGGGTGACTACTGAATGACATACAAAATCGACCTGCATAAAACGTTCCACTTACTTATCTAACTGGACTTTATGATAGAATGTCACTCGCAGCGTCTCCCGTGAATCACAAACACACCCTTCCTCGCCAGTGTCATCATTTCTCGTTGAGCACGAGTGTAGCTTATGTCAGCTTCGATGAACTCATCCGGATAACCGTTTCCACTTAGAGTATCATGGACACATAATGGATGTTTTTCCACACACCCCTTGGAACAAATCAATCTTACTGTAAGTGCCTGACACCTTATTATATTATGTTTGTTCTCTATGAGTATGAAGCTGGGAAAGTGTATGTGCTGTGTCTTAAACTTCGGTTTTCTTTATACACTTCTGAGTATAGAGCCATCTTCTTTGCTTGTCATTAGCTCATCAAGAAAATGTATCGAATCACTCATTCCATTTTCTTATGTAATATGAATTTATGGGTAAGCGCTGTTGACATGATTAGGAGTAGAATTAATGCAAAGACGTTTATCAAAAACTAAAATAGTATCATCCATATACCGAAACTTCAACTCCATATTTACGGTTTAGTCTTTCGAAGAACCATTTTTCAGTTTTGCCAGAAACATATCCTATAGCCACCACGTCAACCTGTCTGTACAGATTACTGTTGTAGATGAAGTGGACATTCACTGTGTATTTTAGCAATGGTTTCTTCAAATTCACAATAGGAATGCCAGTGTCTCGGATTGCCTTTCCAATAACTGTTCACAAATACATTCCCCAGTTTCCATTAGAGGGATGTTAGTGAACAATAATGTGACATGCAGAGATGTTATGCATTTGTTAAAAAGATTTAAGTCTTTTTCGTGGTTTGCAAACTGGGATGTGTCGTTTGCGCTAGATGGAGCTAGCTAGTCACACAGAGGGTGAAGCAATCATACTAGCCATTTAGGAATAACATGGTAGGTTGAGTTGGTCATGTCTCGGATGGAACTGAAGAAGTGCTTCTGGTTTGTGCATTTTTAGTAGACCATACATCTGTGGAACTGTGCTGCCTATAGGCTTAAAACTTTCAACTGAGATTGATGATATTTATCCGTCATTTCTCCTCTTCCTTAGTGAGACGACTAAGTCTTTTTCTGCTTTTTGCTCACGTCTTTCGCCGATTGTAGTTTCTGAAATTCGCTTTCGTCTTGCAATATTAAATCCATTTTCTGTACATAATCATCTCTATCCATAACTGTGGCTCGTATGCTTTTCTTAAGCCTTGTGATAATGAAGGTGTTTTGATCCTTTCTGAATATTTTGAGAGCCTCATCATGTTCTCTAGTCAATATAACTCTTGACACCTTTTCATTTCTTTCATATTGATATCAGTAGGTAACTAGAGTGGATTTTAATCCTTCGGACTCTGCACTAGATGATGCAACCGAATCGACCGCTTGTGCGAATGGATACCCAAATTGTACATCAATATTGATTTGGTTAATTTGTTTGTGAATGTCACAAGATTTAGTTTCAACAGACAGAATTTCAACTTGTTATTTATGAAGTTGGATATTTTCATGTTGAAATTTGACTGTTTAAACTCTTCAGTAGTAGTATTAGTTTCTATGTGAATTTGTATTGTGTAATTTGATTCACGTATTCCTTCAATTGCAGTCTCATATCTTCTGATTTATCGAAAAGTGCATAATTCCTGTGTTTAACTTCATTTTGGTTATATGCTATTGAGTTGATTCGGAATGAATGAGTGCACACCTTGTTAAAGATTTCACACTGGTGACGGTTCTGTTTCTTCCTATGGACTTTTAGTAGATTTTCAGATATTGATTTTTGTGAATACAACGGTCGATATACTGAACATGTATTCTAGATTAAGGAAGCCTTTCATTGAACTTTAAGAACTAGTTGAGTCAATTTTACGCCTTAGCATGCTCAGGAGAGCTGTAAAATTTCAAACAACTAAATTTTCTAATAACATGGATGAAAAGCAACAACTTGAACGAAGAATTTTTCCTCTTTAAATTCTCTTCAGATTCTACAATTATAAAATGGATTTGTACAGCGTGAAACCAAGCCATGTTAAGTGCAGATACATTTTCAAAATAGAGTGAGACTAAGTGATGTAAGGAAATGGATTTTCCTCCTTTAATTTCTCAGTATTATGATGATGCATGGATAGATGTTTTGCGCTCTATGGAGATATCATAGCCACTTCGCCAACTCGGTACACGTTACTGTTGAAGATGAACTACAGATACATTTGTATATTCACTAACAGTTTTTTTTCGAATTTATAATGTTTGTGCTAAACCGTTGTAATAGAGTCAGAATAAAAATATTGGTTAACTTGGAGGTTGAAAATGAAATAAATATCTCATATAATTTTGAATGTTGACGAGGAAGTCGTTTCGATGAAAATCAGTCAAACTATCAATTGATTAACCGTTTTTTAGGTGGATAAATTTATTTTAGCTGTAGTGAAATTTTTACTAGCTGAGTTCCTCGAAAGTTGCAGATGGACGCTTTTAGCAAATATCAAAAAATGAGACTTCCTTTCATCTTAATCTTGAGATCTGACACTAAGTCAATCTCAGGTACTACAGTGCTGTGGCTGAGATGACCTAGATTTGATTCATATCTCAGTTTAAAGGCTTACTTCATGAAATTATTTCATTTTTGTTACAGAGATAAGCAGTATATCACGTTTGCGACAGTGTTTTGATTGAAGTACGACTCTATAAGCTGGCCATTTTGTGTAACTGTTTGTGTTCTCGCTGTGTTTACAAATCTGTCTTCAGGGTGATCTGTATGGTCTATAGATATCAGTTTCAGTCGTCTAGATGATAGTAGAATTCAGTTTTCTAATTAAACTCAGACCCGATACATAACCAATATAAACGAAAGTGTTTCATGAAAAGTAACAAAAGGAGGAAAAACATTAGATGTTAGAAAAATGGTTCTAGATATACGAGTTACCATATAAGATATATTAGCATGGTGGTTACCACTAATGCATAACTGCTGATAAACAGATGAAATGTGGTAACTTACTATAGCCTTGAAGAAGTTTTCAGTAAAAGTTAGTGAGTGTTAACAGTTCTCTTTTACTTTCATATTCTAATGTACCAGGCTCCCATTTGTTGACTTATTTAACAGCGTATAGTGTGAACTGGCTTCGGAAAATCTCTAGACTTTGCTTCATTAATGAGCTTAGAATTTTAGCAGCTAAAAAAATAGGTTGGTTGATTGGTTATTCATATATACTGAAACCTGAAAATTATTGATCTGATGTCGCACAGAGTAATGAATTTATGCTTTCAAAATGCACTAAGCTGCCGTTTAGGGGATTCAGTTCTTTTTTAGTAGACTTTTAGTGACTTTCTCTAGGACTGAGCACTTAAATTCTCCCCTCACAAACAGAATTTATTCAGAACTCAAAACTGTATTCATGAAATTTTCACACGCTGCAATCAATATGGTCAAAAAGTGCTACATATTTAACGAATGCAGGTTTTTACGAAATTCTATGCCTTCGCCTAAAGTGAACAACCTTATGTTGTGATCACTGTAACTAGATGTCACGTTATTTTTCTTCGTGTATCGATATCAATAGAAGACAGGGAGAACTAATCAACAGTTTCATTCGATTTATTGACTAATCTGTAGTTTGAAATCCTTATTCTAAGTATACCTCACTAACTTTCTATTATTAGGTCTCGGTTTCAAAATCTACTAATGCGTAACAAGCTCTTCCATGAAATGTACACCTCATAGCGTATTACACCAACATGAACTGGGATGACGACATCTATCAGCTTCATTGAGGCAAATGGAATCAAGGCTAGGACAGACAGGTGTCACAGTAGGTACATCAGTATACAATCAATGGCTTGGGAATCAGTTATGTACCTTTCTCAATTTCTGTAGACTCACCACAAAGCATTAACGATCTAAAGTGTTGTCGGTGGCCATTCATCTCTGTAATTAACTTGGTTGACCATGAAGCTCAAGGATTCTTACAAAACCATAAAGAAATGTATTTAGAACTATTCAAGCTCAATCCAGGATATGTGAGTGTGTGTTGATTTCATTATTGTGAACTGTAAAGCATACTTGTTCAAATAGATTTTCACATCTAGAATGTAGGTCAGTGTCACGATCTCAGACATCAGTGGTTTATCTACCGAGCTACTTAGTTATTACAGTTAGTGAGAAAAATGGAACTGTGATAATTAGAAAAATAAGGCCTAGATGTGTCTAAGAAATTATAGACTCTCTGAATGTATAAACTATTTTGAGTTAATTTATCGCCATATAGAATATAAAAACTTACTTTGTAATATGACAGATATCCACTTGCTCCAGAATCTGGGATAAACTAGGGAGATAGAAAGAAATAATAAGTAAATAGTAAGATAAGAATGACAACCACTCAAATATTACAAAAAACATTAAAATAAACGCTTATTTCAATGCAGTTTTCATAATGAGTCGACATCAGTTAGTGAAACATCAAAAAATCTAGCCAGTGATGTCGGTTACGAGGACAAGTAATAATAGTAATAATAATGATAATAAGAGTAACTACCTTATTCCAGATAGTTTTTGGCAGAATCTGGAATTTTCATTGTGATATATCGCAAGAAAAATGGATGTGTATATATGTACGACATGCCGAATAGTGGTATTAAAAGAGTTTAAGTAGTGTAAAGAATAGTTAATAACGAGAAAACTTTGCATTGGTAATTAAATTATTGGAATGAAATCATTAACTGTTACAAAGTTGATATGCGACTTCTATTCTAACATATATTTCCTCACGTAATGTGCGTGTAAGGTAACGTACAATCGAATTCTCGTACTTAGCTGTACCAGGGTCCATTCTTATATAATTTCTTTTTCTCCTCCCTGAGGAGATATAAGGAGACAGTTGTGAATGAAGTGGATCCTCAGTGTTAATTAAAATTACTGTCACTAGTTGGCTGCTAGAATTTTAGTGCCTGTCAACTTCAGTGTTAATCAATTAGGCCGGAACCACAGCAGTCATCCAACTGATGGCTTTCAAAGGCCTATGCAATATAACATAGTCGTTTCTTAGTAGACCAGGAAGGACCAAAGGGAAACAATAGACAAGAATAGATAAAATGCAGGAATTAATAGATTGAAAGACTATAGGCTGAGCCACGCCAAAGCGTCTCAGTTTCTTTGTGTATTGGGTTACACGAAATATTTTCTTGAAAGTCAGTAAGACATGAGACGACCAATAAATTTCAGAAGTAAAGCTCAGTCCAAGATATTTAACACTCGGTGTACTTTTTGCAGAAATACCATCACTGTAAGTAGTAGTTGATACATCTTCTTTACGCCTCAGACTAAAATTAGCTTGAGATCATTTGAGAGAGACCGTTGGTCAATTCAGACAAGCAACCACTTTATTAAAGGGAATCTAACTGACAGTTGATTGAAATAAAAATCTTCAGGTCATCAGCATACGTAATGAAATTAGTTTGAATCATGCGGAAGGAACGAGAAGAGAAACGAAGAAAATACTGCACCCTAAGGCACACCAGCTTCAGTAAGCAATGAAGTGGAGCTTCTCCCTTTTATACACAGTGTGCTGTTTCCTTTCAGAAAAATAAGAATATGACCACTTTGCAACACATGGCCTAGTATAAGCTGTGGCTCGCTTATTTAACAAGAGTGGTCTAGCAACAGAGTCAAAGGTTGGTGCTTAATCCAAGAAGGCAGCGTGAATGTGCTACGCTTCCTTGTCTTGGCTAGAAAAGATATTATGATGCAAGACAGTGGCAGCGTCTAAAGTGCTTCACCGGTGTTTGTAAGCAAATTGTGTGGAATTCTAAAAGTCTTTGGTGAACATTGAAGCACAAGGAGAAGTAATTTCTCCATTGTCTTCAGATAAGGGAAAGTTGTAGCAATGGGTCAAAACTTAATACCTGATCCAGTAAGTGATTTAGGTACATATACAACTTTGATCTCCTAACAAGCAGTGGGTACTGTATTGCTAGAAAACGATGTCTCGGAGATTTCGTAAGACGATGACATAAAACATCTGCACATTTTTTAAACATAATACTTAAAATATAATCACAACTTAGGCTTTAGGATGTATTCAAGAGTTTAAGATATTTAAGTGCGTCATCTGTATTAAAATCAGAAAAGCAGCTATTCATTAGACTGCGGACAGTGGGATGGGTGAAATCAAATGCTGACATATAAATTACTTGTTCAACTCACAGACTTCCGAACAAGCTTCTTTTATTATCTTTTTACACAATTTTCATATATAGGTAGAGTTCTTAGACGGTAGAAACTTACCGTTATATGTAGTAATTAGACGTTTTATTTCAGACTCAGGCAGTTAAGTCTTTTAACTCCAGAGGGATCTATGTCCTCAACCAATCTTTCTTTTTCTATCCAAAGCCTCATTAGATGACAGGAGAAAAGTCTGTCATATCTCATAGAGGTCTTATTAGCAGGGCAGCTTATGCTGAGACAGAATCTGAGATAGTCTGTTACATTAGTGATAGTATTGTCTAAAACTTCATCAGCAAATAGAGCCCAGCCTGTTTCTTTAGGCATGCTTCTCAAACGTAGTATACTCTCCTGTGAATAACATCTGTATTGGACTTTTCTAGAAAGATATCCGAAAGCCTTCTGGTGTAATCTGCCATACACTTTGGGCAAAACACACAATAATACAGTGGTTAGAATTCAGTAGCGTAGACCATTTACGGGCTTCATTTATGCCAAAATCACTTGTAAATACTAAGTTTACCGTGTTGTTAAGACGATTGAAAGACCTAACCATATTTAACTCTTAGCGCTACAAATAACCATTAGTACTAAACACTGACATCAGGAAATGGTTAAATGATATGGCAAATTGATATCAGTTAGAAAACGTGGATCAGTAGATTCAAAGTCAGGGGCCCAAAAGTGACGTACTCGCCATCAGATCTAACGGTGCTGCGCTTGGTCCCTGATAGGTTCCTTGCTTCGCCTTGGTGAGTAGTGGCATACTGGAAAGAAACAACTGTCTAATAATTCTGAATTTTCTACGCCTCTCCAGTGGATGTCAGTCAATCATGAATACTTTCGGAAATCAACCAACCCTCCACACTTCCGCACGAGAAAAGCTTTTATATCAAGATATTCAAAAAGTAAACGAACTTTGACGTGGTTTAGTTCTCGTTATAAGATTACAGTGCCTCACTCAATAAACGCATATACCTGAATATAACAATAACTAATGTCATCTTTTTAATTTCATACTATTCACATGAAATTGGTGGGAAGGATCGAAGGTTAGGTTAGTGTTTGACACTATACGTGGGTGGAACATAATAATATTTAGCAAAGTTATTTATCTTTGAATTTCAAAATTCCAGGATTTCAGTGATAAATCTTTCAAATTTGCAGCTGACATTTCACCTATCCTTGAAAAATTATTTTGAGTTTTCAGCAGCTAGCCACTAAAGTACTACACTTAGTACTGTGGTGCGAATCGCTCCAACTTAGTTGGTTTGTTAGACTAGGTGTACCTCATAGCGGAACCATATTATGTACTGGATTATGTTTTGGGCACCATTTATTACCCGTAGTTATATCAGAAGAAATCCACTATTTTGAGACATGATTTATGTAGTCCTAATTCTTTCACTTTCTTTGTGAAATAGGTAGTAGGTCTTTTCACAAGTCCGGAACAGCTGCTGAGTCATCCCTGTTGCATATGTTTGGTGTTGAATCGATAAACAAGGATTCGATTGTCAACCTCTTTTTCCATCCCACCAAGGAATTTTACTCTGTTCTATCATATTGTGCTGTTGTGCGTTATTTCATCAACAGCTATGACCAAACTTCTAAATTCTTTATCTTATTAGAATGCAACGGCTTTGATTTGGCTAGGTTTTTGTGCACGGATAATCTAACTGTGTGAATGGCTTATTAACAGAAAGGTACCGTGAATTCCTTTTTGATCTCTAATAAAAGTATAAATGCTTCTCGAGACCACATATTAGCAGTGAGTGTGAAGAAGCTTGGAATACAGGTTAAGTATGCATTCTGGCAGTCACTTTCACCTAAAATCAAAGGAAGCACACCACAGATGTAACTTTTCTAGCTTCATAGTCAAGCTACAAACTTCGTAATCCAAGGACTCCTAGCACTTATGACGAAACATTGTGAGACAAGTCACCTTCCGAAGAAACCAATCAGTGCATGGAATTCATTGTATTACTGACATTTCGTTCATCACTAAATTTTAGTGGGGAAACATGATCTACTGAATTGTGCTTATAAAGTTTCCTAAAATTGCACATTGGTTTCTAGAGACTTAGCATATAATACTTATTGATAAGAAACGAAACCAGAACTAATTGTGACTAGATATGTCTACATGTCAGTGAACAGCTATTTCACAAGATCTCCTAAAGGGTTTTCAGTAAACATCAGAATACAAACCCTTAAAAATATCCTGAAGCTAAACCACACATGAGGGTCGTGTAGCAGCTCAGGTTACTAAATATTGTGCTACTATCTCAATAATTGGCAACATAAAAATCACCCAGTAAAATATAATCACCATACATCATATAGCTCTGGACAGCTTTAGTATTTTATTATTTATATGCAGTACTTTCATGTGGTTTGAACTGGTTAGTTTAAGTGACCTTATGTATCTACTTGACCTTGTCAAATATATCACACTTTATTGCGATAATGTTTTTATCATATGGTTTTTTATATAGAAATGAAGCAAATTAATTCAATCCACTCTGCCAAATAATCAGCCCTTTATTTCTAAATCACGCAAAATGTTGAGATAAAATATTCTGATTACCATAGCCTTTTCATGCTTTAAATACTGAAAGACAATTAGTAAACAGATTGAAATGACCCACAGTAAGAAGCTGTTAGCTGTAAATGACAAAGCGAATATTTAGAACAAAAGAAATTGATGCGTTTTGCAAGGATTTAAAGCATAACATTTGGCTTGTGACACGTCCTCTTCATTGATAACTTCCAACAACACTGAGTAAATATACAAATAAGAATCATAACAATTAGGTCTGCTATGTCTGCTTCAGATGTTCAAACTGATATGCCTCATTTGTACAAAAGTTGAAAGTGTGAGCGATTATTTTACAGCATTCTCTGAACTTTTAAATTTGATAGTAAATTATTCACTGTAAAAGTAGGTAACCTCAGCGCGGACAAAGAAACAAACTTCATTAGTCAAAGGGCTCCTACTCCGTGGCCACGATATTCCATAAGCTACCATTTGGAATAATTTATCCTACCATAAAAAGTTGGGCATACGGCATCTGTCAATTTCCTCAGAAAGAATAACTTAAATTT